CACGGGGATCAAATTGGAGCTGTGATGGCCACAGCTGTGGGGAGACTGAGGCGGTGAGGCTGGGGTCAGTCTGGCTTCCTCCCCTGCGTGATTTCTAATCCTTTGCTGACTTGTCAGCCAACATATACAAGCCTGGTTAATGTTCGAAGGTGGCCTTCACCGAGAGCCTCTGGTTGCTCACTGTGGCCCGTGGAGGAGTCGGGACATCTGATTCTATAGATGAGCCCACAGTCATCCCTCAAGACCCAGTCCTTATGTTCCTTGAGTCTTTTCAGGGCCATCAGAAGGCAGGCAAATGGGCCAAAGGCCATTTTCAGAGTCCCTCTCAAGGTTCTTCCACTATGCCTGAATCATCTTTAATAGCTTCCAGAGATGTCTGGATTCCTATATGAGTTTCTATGTGCCTATATGGGGACCTAAAGGGTTCCTATATATCTCTGTTTCTCCCACAGAACTGCACAGTGCCTCACTACAGCAGATGCTCAGTAGATAGTTCTGGAATGACAAGACCACTCAGGTAGCTGAATGCCCAGGAATCATGGGTCACTGCTATTTCCCACCTTGCTCCCAGCCTCCTGGAACAGGGCACACCTATCAGTTGATGGGCAGAGTGCAAATCCCCTCTGCAGGAAGCCAAGCTGGGCTAACAGTCTACGGCACCAGGGACTGAACCACAGTCACATTTTTGTCCCTATGATCTGTGGTTATGCAGCTGAGTGGCCCCCCATATCTATTCATTGCTTTGGCTCATAAACGCGGTGTGTGGTGCATGGTAGATACTTTGTAAGTTGGCTGCTGGGGAAGGAGTCTCAGGGGGCCCCATGGAAAATGGGACCTTGGAATCACAGTTGAATAGCAGCTCTGGAAGGAAAGATAAGCACAAGAAAGAAAAGAATTAACTGTTCACAATCTAACACCCTGTGACAACTCCCAAGCCTCTCCTCATCACACACAGGTATGAATAGGTTTTAATTTTCAAAATGCAATCACACTGTCTATTCTTCTTCTACTTTTTCTCCTCAGCCCACGGTTTACCGTGATTATAATTCTGTGTTATCAAACACTCTCTCGCAACACTTTAAGAGGCTGAGTAGCATTATACTGGGTGAATGGCCATAGTTTACATATATAATCAGTTTTGCTTTGTGGAACCACTAGGTCGACTCCTATTTTTTGTCATTATGAAGAATGCTGTCAAAAAATTCTTCGAGTTACATGTTTATGATTAACCATGATTCTTCTCTCATGATAAATTCCAAAAAAAAAAAAAAAAAAGAAAGAAAGAAATTACTGGGCTAAAAGATTAGCGATTTTTAATGTTTTTAATGGATTTTATCAAACTCCCTTCCAAAAAGGTCTCGCTAGAAGTATATGAAAGTACCTATTAAAAATACAGAGTTTTAGTAGTTTTTGGGGAATTGAGTTTATTTAGTATTTAAAAATTACAACACTTTTGTTTTAATTTAAAGTTACCTGCTTTCTCGGCAGGTTAAATATTTTTGCTGGATGTTAATTTGTCGTTCGTACTTTTTCTTATGTGAATTAGCTATAAGATCCCTTGTCCAATGTTAGATTGGGGATTTTTATCTTTTCCTCATTGGCTCGTAAGAGCTCTCTGCATATTAAGGATATTAACCTTTGTCTGCCACGTAAGGTAGGAATATATTCAGATTTTATCACTTGCCTTTTAATTTTGCTTATGATATTTATTGACTGGGAATACATTACTGTCTGCTTACTAGACATCTTTTTTATATGATGCAATGGCATTTCACATATCACATATCCAAATTGAAATTCATTATTTCCTCTTCCCCAAACTGTCCTTCCTACTGATTTGCTTATTTCTGTTGATATCACCACCATTTTCCTAGTCCCCCAGGCTCGAACTGTTGGAGTCATCTTTGATTCCTGATGTGCCGTCAGTGGTCAACTCCCATAGATTCTATTTCTACAGTTTCTCTGGCAGGCAGCCCCTCCATCACAGCAGTATTCCAGGTTTCCATTATTTCTCTGGATTTTGCAAATAGCCTCATAAGTTCATACCTCTTCTCTCCAATGCCAATCCCTGCATTCTTCCTTTCTCCTTGCCCCTCCAGTACACTGCCACCACATTAATCTTCCTAAAGTAGAGCTCAAACATAGAACTCCCTGGTTACCGACCGTCAACAGCTCCCCATTGTCTTGTGTTTAATTACGTCTTTGCCTGGCCATAATTTTCTTTTAGCTGAATCTCCTACTGTCTCCGCCAAGTTGCTCCCCAAACAAGCTCACTGCTTTCCCACCCCTTCACCTTTTAGCTCAAGCCTTCCCCTCCTCCTAGAGTTCTCTCACACCATCTTCACCTGCTGAATTCCACTCAGAAAGGTCCCCACCTACCCCACTGCAGCTATCCCAGGCTTTTCTGATTCTTTAAAGTGGAGTGAATTCTTACTCCTTTGAGCTCCCAGAACGATTTTCTTGAACTTCTCTTGTAAAACAAACTTTATTCCATCCTCTAGTGGGGCCCTCAAAGGTCTTATACCCCTACTAGAAAGCAGAGTCCTTTGAGGGTGCTGTCCTGTATGTCTGTATCTTTCATAGGAACAACACAGTGCCTCGCCAAAGCAGATGCTCAGTAGGTAGTTCTGGAATGACAAGGCCATCCAGGTAGCTGAATATCCAGGGATCTTGGGGCACTGCTGTTTCCCACCTTGCTCTCAGCCTCCTGTGACAGGGCACACCCATCAGCTGATGGGCAGAGTGCAAGTCCCCTCTGCAGGAGGCTGAGCTGGGCTAACAGCCCATGGCACCAGGGACTGAATCACAGTCACCTTTTTGTCCCCATGACCTGTGGTTATGCAGCTGAGCGCCCCATATCTATTCATTGCTTTGGCTCATAAATGCATGGTAGACACTTTGTAAGTTGGCTGCTGAGAAAAGAGTCTCAGGGGGCCCTATGGAAAAGGGGACCTTGGAATCATAGTTGAATGGCAGCTAAGAGTTGCAAGAGGCCCCTGTAACCTTGACCACACATTCTGCCTGGATCAGCTAGGCCTTTTTCTCTCCTTGATATATTTAAATAGATTCAAGATTGGGGTCAGTTTCATGCACAGAGCCTTTTTCAGCTTTAGAGGTGACTCTGCAGCCAGCACGGGAGTGTGCAATTGACACAGTCTATTTTTAGCCTCCTGAAGACCGTGACCAACATCCCAAGATGAGGGTGGGCACACCTGCTGCATTCTAATGAGGTAGCCCCAATTGCCTCTGCCAGCCAGCCCAGGATTTCACTGACCTAAAATCTGATGTTGCTAAACTGGGAAGTCTGCTTATTTCCCAGAGGCTGTAGCCTAGATACACCAGGAAAATGGGACCATCACATCCCCCAGCTGGCTCCCCTCCAGTCCGAGACATAGGGCAGTCTTAGAGCTGTGTCTACAGCATGATAAAGGGATAGAGTCACTGGGATTTCTTGATCTTGCTCTGTCCTAGGACCTCCCTGTTTACTTTGCAGGGAAAGGGCTAGGAAATCTGAGCTGACCCAGCTCACAAATGAGATAATTGAGGCAGAGAACAGGGACATGTTTATGTAATCTGACTAATAATAATAATAATAATAATAATAATAATAAAGCGCTTACTATATGCCAAGCAGTGTTCTAATTTCTTTATATCTATTAACTCATTCAAACTTTCTGACAGCTCCCTCTGGTAGTTTTTATCATATTCTCTGCTTTGCAGAGGAGGAAACTGAGACACCGTGATGACAAATGACTTTCCAAGGTCATTTGTCAGCCAACAAGTGGCAGGGCTGGGTTTCAAATCCAGGCAGTGTGACCCCAAGGACTTGTATTCTTGCACTGTTCTATCTGTCTCTTGATATCTATTTTTAATTTTACTAGAGCCAGGATAGGATCCAGGAGCCCTGAGTCCCAGCCCCAGATGACCAACTCCTGGATACTATTGCCTCTCTGTTTTTAAAATATGCTTCCCTGCTTTGAGGTCATTGCTGTGCTGTGCACACCTGGATTTCCTACACTGCAGGGAGAGGAGGCTCTTCTGGCACAATTGTGCTTCTGCCCCAGAAGTTCTCTGAGTTTCCATCTCCTTCTTCCTCCTCCCCTTGGCCTGAAGAGGAGGAAGAGTGATCAGCGATGGGCAGCAGCAGTTGGATGTGAAGCTGGGCTAAGTGTTGGGATTGGGGTCCCAAAAAGAACAATAACTGTTGTACCTGGGCAGGTCATCATCAGTTAGGGTCTTCACAGTTCAGAGTAATCTGCTGAAGTTCGGAGAACTGTGAATCAGAAACCAGAGGGCAAGACAACAGATGTGAGTCACCAGAACCTAAGAGACCTGCATTTTGGGAGCCAAGTGCTGCCTGTTGGGTGGAGAGAAGCCCATGGGCGTGATCTTCCTGAGGGTGAATGTGGCACTATTTTAGTTTAACAAACACTTAGTGTGCGCTTGGCTGTTTCCTAAGCACTTTACAAATACCAACTTGTCTAATCCTCAGGACAGCTCTAGGAGATGGGGACCATTTTATTCCCATTTTAGATGTGGGGAAACAAAAGCATTATGAGGTTAATAATTTTGCCCCAAATTGTACAGCTAGTAAGTGGCAGGGCTGGGATTTGAGTTTTAAGAGACTGGCTCTGGAATCATGCTATGTGATGCTATGCTATACATCTTTCCCTTTATAGAATGTTTACTATTCACCTCCAAAGGAAGGTATTATTGTCCCCATTTAATATATATGGAAACTGGGGCTCAGATCACCTGACTAGTAAGAGCTGGAACTGGGTTAAATCCAGGTCTGTTTGGCTCCTGAGTAGCATGCTGCCTCAGCCATCAATGTGACTGCCAGAAAGCTTGAAGGCACCATCCATCCCTCAGGAGTGGCTGCTGTGGCTGATTGGAACTGGGCTCAAGGTGTGAGGAGGAAGGCGGGGGGCGGGGGCGAATCTCAGAGAGCAGGACCTCACTGCCAGTGTTAATACCAGGCTCCCCTTTTATTCCTTCAGGTGAGCAGTCCCCCTTCTCAGCCCCCTCAGCCTGTCGTCCCACCCAAGCCTGTGCAATGTGTCCATCATGTGTCCACTCAACCCAGCTGTCCGGGACGGGGTAAGATGTCCAAGCTGCTGAATTTGCTGAACCCCGAGGAGATGACCTCGAGAGATTATTACTTCGACTCCTATGCCCACTTTGGGATCCACGAGGTAAACCACCCTAGTGGCGGATTGGGGCGAGCTTGGCCCTCCTGTTTCATCACTGTTCTCCGAGACAGCATAATGTGTTCAACTCTGCTGTCACGAAGTGAGTTCTCCCATTGGCCCGAGGCCCCTGACCCTCTCTCCATCCCTGGGCCCCTCTGGGAGGGGATCAGGGCCTGGCCTGGAGCAGGTGAGTAGGTAAAAATGGGTGTTTGTGTTTCTTAGTGGGTGAGGAAGGAGTGCTCAAGGTTTCTCTGTTTTACGGTTGGGCACTTGTGTCTGCCCAACCCTCAGTCCAGGTGATCCAGGTGGACTGGACGTCCTCGGTCCTTGCTCTTGGAGCTCAGATGCTTTGCAGCTACGGTCCTGAGGCCAAAAAGGCCTTTTGAAGGTCACAGTGTCCATTCTTCAGGCAGGGATGAACACGAACCCTTAGGTTCATCCTAGACCAATGAATGAGTGCCTCCAGGGGAAAAAAAAAATACATCAACCTTCCTTGAAAACCTGGCCCAGGTCTGATACCCTGATCGATTCTTGGGAAATTCTTATATGTAAATGCTTGTCTTACACCATAGCAGGGAAGGTCTATGTGAGCTGTAACAGAAACAGAGCTTCCTGACAAGAGGCATCCTGGCTACTGTGGGAGCACAACAGTAATTTACCCCCA